TACCTAGAAAATAAGCAAAACACTCAGGCCTTTCCAGGATGGAGGGTAGGGATAGATAAATAAATAGGGCATGGTATTGTGGTGCAGTGGGTCAGGCCACTACCTGTGAAGCCAGCATCCCTACTCCTATGAGCTCCACTTGTTAATGCACATGGGAAGGCAGCAGATGGCCCAAGTCCTTAGACCCCTGCACCCATGTGGGGGCCCAGGAAGTTCCTGGCCAAGCACTAGCCATTGCAGCCTTGGGAGTGAACCAGCAGATGGAAGATCTCTCCCTCTGTGTTTCCTTCTGTAACTCTGCCCTTCAAAAAGAATAAAATAGGATCTGGCACAATGGCTCAATTGCTAATCCCCACTTTGAATGCACTGGGATCCCTATGGGCACCAGTTCGTGTCCTGGTTGCTCTACTTCCCTGCCAGCTCCCTGCTTGGGGCCTGGGAAAGCAGTGGAGGATGGCCCAGAGCCTTGGGATGCTGTACTCCTATGGGAGACCCAGAAGCAGCTTTGATCAGATCAGCTCCAGCCATTGCAGCCACTTGCGGAGTGAACCACAGATGAAAGATCTTTCTCTATGTAACTCCTTGTCTCTATAATTATGAGTTTCCAACACAAAATAAATAAATCTTTAAAAAATGATCACTTTAAAATTGCATAGAAAGCATTAACCTATTTTTCCAAGCAAACAGTTTGTTTTAAACACGTGCTTTTTCTTCTCCTCAGTACTTTGCTTTTCCTAGAATCGTGCTATACAGCTGTGATATTTCTTCTAAGACAATAAATGTAAAATAAATAAACCTGGAAAAAAAATCAAGTGAACTTAGGAAATGGTCTCTGTTCTTTACAGAGGCAGATTCCAAGGCCACCTCCTTCAGCTGAGGCCAAACAGCCCAGGAGCGCTGCGAGCCCTCAGCCTGCTCCTGGCGCCAGCGGGCACCGTGACTCAGCAGAGCCCAGGACATCTCCACTGGACTGGCCAAAAACCCTAAACCCTGATGAAGCAATGTCCCAGCGCCGCCTACTAGTGGCCTGAGGGAGAAATAAACCTGTTTCAGAATAACAGGTAGAAATGGACCCTTCTCATGAGTGTAACCTTTGTTCTCTGCTGCTGCTGCATTCTCAGATACACACGTGAATTTAACCCCGATGGTTCACATAAAGATTAACAACATGTGACGCTCGTGCGTGCACACACACACACACACACACACCCCTAAAGGGCAGCTACCTTCATTCCATCAAGATCAGACAGTGCCTCCTACAGCTCTTCCTTTCTCTCCTCTCTATCCACCAGAAAACACAGCCGGCCCCAGAAGGCTCACTTCCAAACCCGTGTGCTTCCTTAGCCAGACACTTAAATCCCTTTAGTTTCTGAAGCACTTTTGTGGTTATTGGTCTCCATGGAAAAGTCATTGGAGTAGACGTAAACCATTTATGCATAAATGACATAAACGGTATATTTTGCTTCTATCAGTAGAAAGCAATGAGTGGATTTTGGCTTTTAATTCTGTTGTTCAGATGCAATGTAGGACTGAGAGCCAGTCATGACTTGATCCCAGTGTCGGCATGACTGAGTCACTGCAGTAGGAATCACCGAGCGGAGCGAGCCTACCAACTGGTACCTTCTTAAAGACGTGTTGGAGCTCTGCGCAATCAGATAAAGCAAAGTAAGATTGAAGAATCCATATACAATTCAACCTAGGTGCTTCTAAAGACCACTTAGAAGAGTATGCTGGGCTGTTTTATTCACTCAATAAAATTTCATTCTAAACTAGTAGCTGCTCTTGTGTTGGCCCTTGGGTTCTGTTATGTGATGATGAGTCAAGTGCTAAAGGAAGTAAAGCAGAGGCCCAGGAAAACAGAGCCATCCTGCTTCCTGCCCTGGGAACAGGAGGCAAACCAGGCCACGCAGGGCTAGGACGCTGGCGAGGAAGCACCAGCTTTGTAAAAGCTTATGCCCCTTAGCATATGAGAGGACTTCAGAAGGCTCATGGGGAACTAGAATTAAAACATGAGTTTATTTTGGTGCAAAAATATTTTTTAGTCCATGCATTTTTTGGTAATATCCACCCCCCCACCACCAAATTTAAAGACCCTTTATATTCATGACCTAAAAAGAATATAGTCTTACTTGTTGAATCCTATTAACCAGCACCTAAATATAGCTTATCGGATCCCACTCCTAGCAGAAATGTTAGATCTGTATCATAAAGGTAACCTCATTAACTAGCAAAGTGTCTGTACTGGATATGTAGAAAGAGTCCAGCCCATGGGGCTGGCACTGTAATGCAACCTGCAGTTCCAACATCCCAAAAAGAATGCAGATTCCAGTCCTAGCAGCCTCCTTTCTGATCCAGCTCCCTGCTAATGCATTTGGGAAAGCAGCAACAGATGGCCCAACTGCTTAGGCCCCTGCACCCAAGTGGAGGCCAGAATGAAGCTCCAATCTCTTGGCTTCAACCTGGCCCAGCCCCGGCCATTATGGCCATTTGACTTGTGAACCAGTGGATGGTAAATTCTCTCCATCTAACCCTGCCTTTCAAATAAATAAATCCTCACAAACAAACAAACAAACAAAGATTAGAGTCTGATCATTTTAATTATTTGATTTCCCTAAATGCTGTTAAAATCACTGCCAAGAAAAAAAAGTATTTGTTCTGTGCAAGGCCCTGAACTAAATGACTTAGAAAAACAATGAGCAGCACAGTTCTCCTTCCCACTATGTTTACCGTCCACAGAGAGGACGTGAAACGCCATCGGAGACAGTGATGAATGACCCCAAGGTGGTTTTGAGACCTTAAAGCAGTGATTTTGTTCAACTGAAACTCTACAAATTTTCTGGTGTTATTCATGAAGTGTTGAGGTTTAATTATGTAGACCATGATGCCCAAATATGAGTAGGCCACATGTCTTGAATCCAGCCATTAGCTCCAGCACTCATGTCAGTGCGAACAGAGAGAGACCCAGCGCCCTGGGGTTCATCTGCTGGCTTGCAGGGCATCCTCTAAGAGCCTCTGGGATCGTGAGGTCCAACATTCCACCCTCTCACTCACAGGGAGGAAGCACAAGCTGAGCCCTGTGGTGCTGCTTCCCACGGGAAACAGGTGCCTCTGTCTCCCAGCAGCGCTCTGGGAGCGCATTTGTGAGTCTGTAAGTTTTAGTGGATGGGGTGGGGAAGCATCTTTCCCTCACTACAAAACCAATAACCCAATTTGAATAACAAGAATAACTAAGAAAATAGATTGTCACCAAATGTCTCCAAATAAATCGCAAGAAGGAAGCTGGGCCTAGCATTAGGTTTCAAAATCTACAATAAAAGGGGTTAGGGACTGGTACTGTTGACTAACAGGCTAAGCCTCCGTTGTGCCTACAGCACCAACTCAAGCTCCCAACAACTCCACTTCTAATTCAGCCCTCTGCTTGCAGCCTGGGAAAACTGTGGAGGATGACCCAAGTACTGGGACCCTTGGACCCACATGGGGGACCCAGAAGTTCCTGGCTCCCGGCTTTGAACAGGACTAACTCAGGTTGTCGTGGCCCTGTGGGAAGCGAACAAGCAGATGCAGGATCTTTATCGCTCCTTTCTGTAACTCAGCCTTTCCTACATAACAAAAATTTTTTTAATAAGAAAAAAGAAAAGCAGTTGAAACAGGACTGTGATTACAGTTGATCATACTTTTAAAAATAATAAAAAGATTTAGAGAATCATTTTTTTTAATGATTTGCGGCAAATTCCAGATGCACGCCTATGCCCGAGAGTGCTTCCCTTGCGGCTTTAGAGCTGGACATTCCCTGCAAAGGCTTACAGTGCTGGGCGTGCCTAAGGCCGTGGCGTATTCGCGTCATTGCTAAGCAAACAGAAATTGCTGAAACCAATGTCACACGTTTTACTTTTCTCTCTTTCGATTAGCCCTGAGGGTAGTGAAGTCCTTGATATCCAATTACATTGATGAAAAGGAAACCACTTTCCAAAGCATTTTTATTTGTTTTAGAAATACACATTCCTGAATATGTAGGTACATATATATGTACGTATGTATGTACACAGATGGGCATTACATATCCATTCCTATACATAAAGGCATTGCATAAGGTTTGTGGGCAATGGTACTGAAACGTTTATTTTGGTGCCAACATTTTTTTTTGCATATTTTTTCATAATATGCATTTCCAAGAACTTCTTGGAGACTCACGATCTGTAAGGATTTTAAAACATTTTGCACTAAAATGAACTCTCCCCTTAATTCCATTTTCATGAACTTTTTGAAGTACTCCTATGTTTCTTGTTACCTAAACGCTATCATTTCAACTTAATCTTTTAAAAATAATTGTGAAAAGAAAAACATGAAAATATACCTTCTTTCCAAATTATTTGTGTTTTCATCAACTTGTGTATGCTGACGAGACCACGAGCATTTGCCAACTATGGGATTAGAGTTAAACCTGTTTACATCTTTCCCAAGACAACACTCACCATCGGCACCGTCAGAAATCCAGCCGGGAACGTGTCAGAGAGAAGAGACTCAAGTGTTTATTGTATAAAATCTATCATCTAATGTGTACAGGTTTCAAAAATACAGAGCACTCATGCCTGTGTACTTATAACAGGAACAACAGTCGCTACCGCATGCATGCACACGCGAGGCACCGAGCACAAACGCATCCACACCGCAGCAACCAGACCCACTTCCCAATTTACAGTAGTTCGGGCCTCAGTGAACTGCAGCTGAGACTTTACTTTTTTTTTTTAATGATTGCTTTCAGTAGTCCAGGAAAGGGGGCGGGGGCGTTCTTTCCACAGCAATCAAAATCATTCACAAGATCCATGAATGAAATCTACCAAATACAAGGCGAGAGGAGCTGGAGCGGGGAGGGGGGGGGTGATGTGGGGACGATCACACACCATGGCGTCCGTAGGTGCGGATTAAAGTATCCTGACAGTTCACGGTGTTTACTTGAAAGATCCTGGGATTCTAAGCCGCCAGAAGTCCCCGCTGCGCCCTTAACTGGGCATCTGGAAGGGCTCGGGCTGGAAGCCGAAGAGCCGCTGGCCGTAGGGCTCGGCCTCGCCCGAGAACGTGAGGTAATGGTCGCGGCCCAAGTGCTCACAGTGCAGGTTGACCCAGTCCCGCTCGGAGCCCAAGCGCTCGGCCTCGGCCAGGATGCGCGTCAGAGCCATGATGTAGCTCAGCGCCATCTGCAGGGTCTCGTACTTGGACAGCTTCTTATCCTGGCCCCACTGGGGCACCACCCTGCGCAGGCGGTCGAAGGCCGTGTTGAGCCCCTGCATGCGGCGCCGCTCGCGCGCGTTGGCCGCCAGGCGCCTGCGCGCCGCGCTCTCCAGCCGCCCGGCGCACGTGCCCGCGCACTCGCCGCCGCCCGCGCACGGGGACGCGCCGCGCGCTCCCGCGGCCGGCCCGCCCGGCTGGCAGGACTTCATCCCGGCCCGAGGGCGAGCGGCCGGGCACCTGCGGGTGGGGCGGGGCCGAGGAGCGAATAAAGTCCTGAAGGGAACAACTCACGGGCCGCTCGGTCTTCAGGGGGGCGAGGGCGGGCGTGGGCCTCCTGTGCCAGCGGATCACGGGTGGACGTTTCTTCACTTTCCCTCGTTGTGGGGAAATGGAGATGCCTTCCCACATGAAGCTGGAAAGGAAGCCTTCTTGCAGCAGTCAGCTTGGTGTGGCTGGTGCGGGGAAGGCCCCTGACCTCCTCTGCAGGAAGGGGAAGATGTTCCCCCAGCTCAGAGAGGGTTGGGGTGCTTTTACCGCAGGAGCTGTCGGACAGTGCGGGATGGAGCTTGGAGGGAGGAGAATTTATAGCCGAGGCCAAGGGAGCCAACAGGTGGTGGCAGGTGGGCGGGCGTCCCTCGGCTTCCATCTCAGCACCTTCCTACCCTGGGAACTGCGGGGGGGAGGGGGCGACGCACAGCAAAATCCTGACATTACAGCCTTCATCTGTTGAAGTTTCTCCAAAGCTATGTCCAGCACTAACACACACCATCTGGAGTGGCCTGGCTGTCCCCGAAAGAATAACGAAGTGGGCGGGGATGGGGTGGGGTGAGGGGGCTCCGTCCATCTTTTCCAGGATCAGCAGGAGGCTTACAATTATGGGAAATCCTTTGTGAGAAGGACTTGGTGTGGGCATTAAATAATATATCAGAAGTTGATGAAGAGGTTTGAGAATTGTGACAATTTTTCATAATGCTTATCTAATATACTGGCATTTTAAATTTCAGCTATTTAGTCAATTGGGACAAATTTGCAAGTCCTTAATATTGTTGCAGACCTGCAATTTTATTATGTAAATAGTTTAGTAATATTTTTGTGGAATGCTTTATTCCAACATGTCAAAAGATAATGATAATGGATTGTATAATTTTGAAGAGTTAAGCAAGGTGATTCAATAGTTATATTTCATTTCTCCAGAAATAGTTTCATAAATGTTTGTGGAACAGATGCTGAGAGGATAGCCAATTATTTGATATTTAAATGTAGAACTAATCATATAAATATATGCAAATATCAAAGTAATTTGTAAGTTTTTTTAAAAACTAGTTGCTAGTGGAAGATTTCAGTTGTGTCAGCTGTCTTCAGGAATAATAAAGCACCATTTACACTATGGGTAATGAGGGTAACTTACTCAGAAGAACCATTCATTGTACTTTCTTATGCAAGTTTCTTTCTTGTTCATCAGCTGACCCCAGGGAGTAAAGCAAGCAGCTCCCCAGAGGCGCAGGCCCGAAGGCTTTCTGTAAGGATGCCTTGCGGAGCTGAAGCCAAGTTCTCCCTCCTTTGGGCACACGGACTTGCACAGGTGTACAATATTCTCCGGTAGTCTTGCGTAATTGTCAGCCGGCACTCCCGCCTGGGGAGTCCTTCCTATCTCCGTGACTCGCTTCCCCCACACTGCCTCAGACCTGCCCTTCTGCCCCTGCCACATTGTGACTGCCCTGTCTTCCCATAAATAGTTGATGAATCCCCAGCTGAAGCAACGACAATGAGATGAAGTTGAAGAACAGGAGGACAATAGGATGCAATTGAACATTAATGATCTCCAGCATGACAGATGTTGGACAGGGTCTTATGCAGTGAGCCACTCAGCTCTGTGACTCTTGAGTCCTAACAGTCTTGACCAGCGACAACAGTCCTGTGACAGGAAACGCTGTTTATGTGGCCATCAAAAAAAAACACTTTTTTTTTTTTTACATGGAATCTGCCCCCTTTTGTGCAGTTGTTTCTCATGTTCATTTAGCCCATTTTTTTCCCCTCAAAGAATTGCCTCCTTGCCACGCTGGGGAACATCTTTCTGCAAAATGGCCTGTGCTTGTTTTCTGGACAGTGCTATCCGAAGAGCTAGTGAGATGTGCACTTTTGCCTGCCACGTACCCAGGGTTGATGAGACTACAGCCTGTACACCAAGAACATGGCAAATGGAACTTGAAGGGGAAAAGGGAAAGCAGCTCTATTGCAGATATCCAAAATATATAATTGGTGCAAGGACAAGAGAAAACTTTCAATCCAGGGCTTAGTGAGCCCACAGGCAGACATTTCTTGGTGTACCCCTAAAAATATATTACTACAAAGATGCTTCTGGGCAGAGGGGTCCACTAGGAAGGGAAACATTTCTGCTATTTTCTGTTTAGAAAACCATGAAGCAAAATGGACATGTAACGTTTCTTTATTATAGACCTTCTCAGAAACTTCTCCTGGACCTTGAGGCCAGACCCTTTTCCCCTCTAAAGATTAACAGAGTTCTTTGGACACATTCTCACCCCTGTTCTGGTACCCTCCATTTACTTAATGGAGAAGACACCTGTGCCAGAGATCAAACACCAAGTTCAAAAGTAGTCAGCAATTTGATGCAAAAGAAAGCAGGATAGCAAATCTACATCCATTGACTGCGAACGCTTTTAAATTATGTGATATCTCAACACAACTTAAGATCCACCAGTGACTTCTCAAAGCCAGACAAATCACTAATCACACTGCGGTATAGAAGTAGAAGCTCAATAGACTGTTGTTTATTTTATAACCTATTTATATAGCACAGTACCCAAAATAGGTACTGAGTAACCCAAACAGAATGAATAGAACAATAAATACATCAGTGAACAGAATCAGCACATCCATGGTGAATAACAGCTAGCTGCATGTACATTTTGATTGCGAAATGTGTTCTCTTTTATCTAAAAAAAAAATGTATAGCCATTTGGTCTCAGAATATGCATAGCAAATTTTCGTAGTATTTCTATGTTGAGGGTATGAACCTCCCAGGTGAGTTAGCAATTACTGTTGCTAAATAAAACTTGTAGGGGGTCATTGATTTGGATTAGGCCTCTGTATTAGGTCCAACATAGCAACTTAAGATGGGGTCACTCATACTAAGTGAAACTAATGAACTTACAAGCAGGCTTGTGTTAACAAATGGCTGAGTTTCACTTTAGTTACAGCAGCTGAGCATTGGTCACTTGTAGGTGGCCAACTGATTCAAATAAGCCAAATGTTGTAACCAGCTGCTCTGTCTCCCTCACTGCACCCTCCACTAACAAATACTGCATGATCACGTTACTAGCCAGAGTTTGTTCAGCCTGTTCTAGTTCAAAGGGCTGTCTTATTATGGTTCGTGAATAAAAATCAATGAAGATATATTAAATTTGTAGCTGGTGTTGTGGCTAACCAGGCTAATCCTCCATTTTCAAGCATCAACATCCCATATGGGTGCCTCTACTTTCCAGCAGCTCTATTTCCCATCCAGCTCCCTGCTTGTGACCTGGGAAAGCAGTGGAGGGTGGCCCAAAGCCTTGGGATCTTGCACCCACATGGGAGGTCTGAAAGAGGTTCCTCGCTCCTGGCGTCAGATTGGCTTAGCTCTGACCACTGTAACCATTTGGGGTGTGAACCAGTAGATGGAAGATCATTTCCCTCTCTTTCCCTTTTACTATATGTAGATCTGCTTTTGAAAAAAAAAATAAATCTTTTTTTAAAAATTGCTGCCATTTTTAACTTTTGATATTATATGACCTGAAATCGAAATGGCAGGTAGAGATAGGGAATTGGGAGTGGGGGTGAGAGAGAAGTAACTTATATCTGTAGAAGCAGCAGGAAAATTGGAGAAATATTGTATTAGAGATGAAATATTGATGGCTGAAAACGATTATATAAAATCTGGAGTCTAGGTTTAGTGAACAGTCCTTTACTATCCAAAATCATATTTAATTTTTAAAATGGGTGGTGTCTAAAAAGCCGCAAAGTTAAATAGGAAGAAAAAAATACAGTGAAAAATGCTCATTTTAAAATTTATGGAGAAAATATGGGCAATGAGAATCGGAGCTTTTTTATGCAGAGGGAAACTGGGGACCGGAGGTATCTGCAAGACTGAGGGGTAAGCCAGGGGACATCAAGGAATTACACCCAGCACCTCCTTGATGCTTGATGTTTTCTTTTAAAGATTTACTTATTTATTGGAAAGTCAGATATACAGAGAGGAGGAGAGACAGAGAGGAAGATCTTCCGTCTATGATTCACTCCCCAAGTGACTGCAGCGGCCGGTGCTGCACCAATCTGAAGCCAGGAGCCAGGAACTTCTTCCGGGCATCTCACACAGGTGCAGGGTCCCAAAGCTTTGGGCCGTCCTCAACAGCTTTCCCAGGCCACAAGCAGGGAGCTGGATGGGAAGTGGAGCTGCCGGGATTAGAACCGGCGCTCATATGGGATCCCGGGGTGTTCAAGGAGAGGACTTTAGCCACTAGGCCATGCCTCTGGGCCCTGATGCTTGATTTTTGTTTAAAAGATTTACTTACTTTTTATTAGAAAGTCAGATAAACAGAGGAGGAGAGACAGGAAGATCTTCTGTCCAATGATTCACTCCCCAAGTGACCACAGTGGCTAGTACTGCACTGATCTGAAGCCAGGAACCAGGAACTTCCTCCAGGTCTCCCACAGGTGTGCAGGGTCGCAAGGCTTTGGGCCATCCTCGATTACTTTCCCAGGCCACAAGCAGGGAGCTGGACGGGAAGAGGAGCTGCCAGAATTAGAACCGGCACCCATATGGGATTCCGTGCATCCAAGGCGAGGACTTTATCCACTAAGCCACCATGCCGGGTCCTGATGTTTGATTTTTAAAGCCCAGAAATGGAAGCTGCTAAAAGAGTTCCCATAACTTCATAATACAGTAGCAAGTTAATAGAGGGAAATAACCCCAAAAGGATTTACAGGTACACATTTAGAGAGAGGAAGGGAGATGTCCCATCTTGCTCCTTTGCTCCAGCATTCTGAGACCCAGAGAAGGGGAAACCCCCATGAGGGCAGAAACTAAGAGGCGGCAGAGGACAACGGTGGGCCCTTGGGTCCTATCCCAAGTCCTACAATACTCAGTAGAAAGGCACAGGGCTTATCATAGGTACCCAGGGGCACATGCTGCCCTGAGCCAAACTCTGCCTTCATTCTCCTAGCTGGCAG